CTCTTTCTTTCTTGCTGCTACTTTTCCACTTCAACCTTATACCTTTCGTCATGAAAAATCCTGAAATCTTATTTCATCGTAATTCTACCCAACGGAAAACTGGTGGTGGAACTCCTTTTAATTTATTCGAGTTTAAATTTGATGAGAAAAATTTTTAACAGAAAAAAAAGATGATGATTTACGAGAATTGAGTTTATTATACTCGAGATGCGGGAGATTTTTTTTTTTTTTAAATTCTTTTCGTAATAAAAATTTAAATTAAATGTAAAGAGTATATTAAACAAATATATAATACGAAGTTATATATATATATATATATATATATATATATTGTTATAAAGTAGCTGCTCTTAGTTTAAATGAGCTATTCTTAGTATATATGGAACGCAACGTCATATGTACGTGCTTGGCGATAGTCCCAGAGTAAGAAATTCAAGAGAATCCTTGTTTATATAAAACAATGAATTTACAGAGTCAAAACCCATATATGTGTGTGTGTGTATTTATGCTTGAATGACATACATATATATATATTGTAGTATGAGAGATAGAAGAGACCAAGGGAGAAAGCTAAGAGATTGCAACGTCTTGTGTATATATAACTTTATAAGGCGTTTCGTCATCCCAGCTACTTACCTAGCCTCGCGAATGTCGTTTCGCTAACAAGTTGGCTTCAAAGTTTCGGCTAACTTGATTAATAGAACACTTGTAACTTGTTTCATGGTTGCATAATAACCCCCTGTAGTTCTCTTCGGTCTATTCCACACATTGATATATTCCAGTTTCTCGTTTGCCTATATATATATATATATGTATATTCATCATTGAGTCACTGTTTTAATTGTCAAATAAAACTCTTACGTCAGTAACAACAATTTCATCCAAGTTTACGCCGTTAAAAAAGTCTGACAAAAAATTGACTTGTACTACTTAAGGAAATACAAAAAAATTAATAAGCCTGACTTAAAACATACATTTACTACTGTTTTATACTTTACATATTATGTCACGGTACCCTGAAACCAATCTCAAACCTCAAGTTCTTTCCCTTCGGAGATTCCTTTTGCAACTTGTTCTAGGTAACTCACTGAACATTTTCCAAGAAGAAGGAACAAAATCCGTCGGGCGCTTTTATTTATTCCATTTTTTTGAATAGAATGTTTTCCTGGAAAATGAAAAAATTCCTTACAAATTTAAAAAAAATTAATCAGCATGTCTCTATTATTTTTTTACCTTAAAACAACACCTTAAAACCTTCAAAAAAACCTACCAATTGAACCTGAATTGCAGTAGACTAAGAATAATCAATTTTATTCCATTTTTTTGAATAGAATGTTTTCCTGGAAAATGAAAAAATTCCTTACAAATTCAAATAAAATTAATCAGCATGTCTCTATTATTTTTTTACCTTCAAAGAACCTTCAAAGAACCTTCAAAAAAACCTACCAATTGAACCTAAATTGCAGTAGACTAAGAATAATCAATTTTATTCCATTTTTTTGAAGAGAATGTTTTCCTGGAAAATGAAAAAATTCCTTAACATTTAAATAAAATTAATCAGCATGTCTCTATTATCTTTTTACCTTAAAACAACACCTTAAAACCTTTAAAAAAACCTACCAATTGAACCTAAATTGCAGTAGACTAAGAATAATCAATTTTATTTCATTTTTTTGAATAGAATGTTTTCCTGGAAAATGAAAAAATTCCTTAGAAATTCAAAAAAAATTAATCAGCATGTCTCTATAATTTTTCTACCTTCAAAGAACCTTCAAAGAACCTTCAAAAAAATCTACCAATTGAACCTAAATTGCATTAGACTGTTAATAATCAATTTTATTCCATTTTTTTGAATAGAATGTTTTCCTGGAAAATGAAAAAATTCCTTACAAATTCAAAAAAAATTAATCAGCATGTCTCTATTATTTTATTACCTTAAAATAACACCTTAAAACCTTCAAAAAAACCTACCAACCGAACCTAAATTACAGTAGACTAAGAATAATCAATTTTATTCCATTTTTTGAATAGAACGTTTTCCTGGAAAATGAAAAAATTCCTTACAAATTCAAATAAAATTAATCAGCATGTCTCTATTATTTTTTTACCTTCAAAGAACCTTCAAAAAAACCTACCAATTGAACCTAAATTGCAGTAGACTAAGAATAATCAATTTTATTCCATTTTTTTGAATAGAATGTTTTCCTGGAAAATGAAAAAATTCCTTACAAATTCAAATAAAATTAATCAGCATGTCTCTATTATTTTTTTACCTTCAAAGAACCTTCAAAGAACCTTCAAAAAAACCTACCAATTGAACCTAAATTGCAGTAGACTAAGAATAATCAATTTTATTCCATTTTTTTGAATAGAATGTTTTCCTGGAAAATGAAAAAATTCCTTAAAATTTAAATAAAATTAATCAGCATGTCTCTATTATCTTTATACCTTTAAACAACACCTTAAAACCTTCAAAAAAACCTACCAATTAAACCTAAATTGCAGTAGACTAAGAATAATCAATTTTATTCCATTTTTTTGAATAGAATGTTTTCCTGGAAAATGAAAAAATTCCTTACAAATTCAAATAAAAGTAATCAGCATGTCTCTATTATTTTTTTACCTTAAAACAACACCTTAAAACCTTTAAAAAAAACCAACCAATTGAACCTAAATTGCAGTAGACTATGAATAATCAATTTTATTCCATTTTTTTGAATAGAATGTTTTCCTGGAAAATGAAAAAATTCCTTAGAAATTCAAAAAAAATTAATCAGCATGTCTCTATAATTTTTCTACCTTCAAAGAACCTTCAAAGAACCTTCAAAAAAATCTACCAATTGAACCTAAATTGCATTAGACTGTTAATAATCAATTTTATTCCATTTTTTTGAATAGAATGTTTTCCTGGAAAATGAAAAAATTCCTTACAAATTCAAAAAAAATTAATCAGCATGTCTCTATTATTTTATTACCTTAAAATAACACCTTAAAACCTTCAAAAAAACCTACCAACCGAACCTAAATTACAGTAGACTAAGAATAATCAATTTTATTCCATTTTTTTGAATAGAATGTTTTCCTGGAAAATGAAAAAATTCCTTACGAATTCAAAAAAAATTAATCAGCATGTCTCTATCATTTTTTTACCTTAAAACTACACCTTAAAACCTTCAAAAAAACCTACCAATTGAACCTAAATTGCAGTAGGCTAAGAATAATCTATTTTATTCCATTTTTTGGGATAGAATGTTTTCCTGGAAAATGAAAAAATTCCTTACAAATTCAAATAAAAGTAATCAGCATGTCTCTATTATTTTTTTACCTTAAAACAACACCTTAAAACCTTTAAAAAAAACCAACCAATTGAACCTAAATTGCAGTAGACTATGAATAATCAATTTTATTCCATTTTTTTGAATAGAATGTTTTCCTGGAAAATGAAAAAATTCCTTAGAAATTCAAAAAAAATTAATCAGCATGTCTCTATAATTTTTCTACCTTCAAAGAACCTTCAAAGAACCTTCAAAAAAATCTACCAATTGAACCTAAATTGCATTAGACTGTTAATAATCAATTTTATTCCATTTTTTTGAATAGAATGTTTTCCTGGAAAATGAAAAAATTCCTTACAAATTCAAAAAAAATTAATCAGCATGTCTCTATTATTTTATTACCTTAAAATAACACCTTAAAACCTTCAAAAAAACCTACCAACCGAACCTAAATTACAGTAGACTAAGAATAATCAATTTTATTCCATTTTTTTGAATAGAATGTTTTCCTGGAAAATGAAAAAATTCCTTACGAATTCAAAAAAAATTAATCAGCATGTCTCTATCATTTTTTTACCTTAAAACTACACCTTAAAACCTTCAAAAAAACCTACCAATTGAACCTAAATTGCAGTAGGCTAAGAATAATCTATTTTATTCCATTTTTTTGAATAGAATGTTTTCCAAGTCAAGGTCACTTCAAGGTTAAGTCAAGGTCATTGAAAGTCATTTAAAGGTCAAGTCTAGGACATTTAAGTTCAAATCAAGATTTGTCCAAAGCTAGACTTGTCTACTTACGTCTGACTATAACCTGATTTTTATTACTGACGAAATTCAAAGAATTAAAATGTTTGACTAAATATTGACTTGTACTACTGTGTGAATTACCAAAGATAAAATATCTTTTAAAAAACTTGCTTAATTCCTTATTATTTATACGTCTTTCCAAAAAACAAATTGTACTACTGATGAAATTACAAAAAAAGTTAGAAAGACTGATTAAATATTTACTTGTACCACTTAAAAAATTAAATACAATTATAAAGCTTAACTAAAGAATAAAATAACAATTTTGAAAGTCTGACTAAATATTGACATGTACTACTAGGAAAAAATGATTATTAGTAATAAATTCAAAAAAAATGTATTACAATAATAGTGGTGAAATAGGTATTATAATATCATTTTGATTTGAACCTCCCTCGAGGGGGAGGGGTGGCAACTTTAATGGTGGAATTCCATTGTAAAAGGGACTCGAGATGTTTAGGTCTATTTATCGAAACCATTCGTTAATGAAGTCGCGTGTCCGGGTACGCCAAGTTCATTTCCCTCTGAATGTGATATGTCCAGAATCATAATTACTATATTCTGCGCATACTAGCGTAGACATGCAATGCAATGGAATGCGTAACCCGCTGTGCTGGTCCTTCGTGGGAATGCCGATTAAACGTTCCAAATGATATACGCGGATTCCGCTAGAGTCGCAATCAACCATCCACACACACACACACACATACACATACTTCTTTTCATATTTCTTATTTTCAAAAAAAAAAATTAATATAAAATTATTGAAAATTAATTTCAATATTTGAGTGTATATATTTATATTAATTTCTTTAGTTTTAAATTTTTTTTTGAAAGTTGATGGTTATAATAACCGTTTTTTTTTTTGTTTGATAAACTTCTTTTGAAATAAATTAATATTCATTATTTCTTTTCCAGGTCTCCTCGTTAGATCCCTTGAGATTAGCTCCTTTGTGCGGATCGATCAACCACAAACGCACCATGCAGAGTGTAATCTAGTCTAATCAAGATTCCTTCATTAAGCAGTCTGTCTACAAGGTGAGTCAAAAGAATATAAATACATGTAAATAAATTGTAAAAAAAAAAAATTTATTTGATTCAAATAATCGTTTAGTTTATTAGAAAGGAAAAAAAATTTATTTGTATTAATAACGATTAATAATTATTTAATAAATAATTTTGAAACAAATACCATTTAACTGACTCAAATAACCAGTTACTTAAATACTATTTACTTCAAATACCAAAATTATTGATATAAATATATTTTATTTAAATCAAATAAATTATTTTGTTATATTATTAAATATTATATGGTTCAAGTAAATATTTATTTGATAATAGTCAAGTAACCGTATATTTGAATCCAGAAATTTTTTTTCAGTGTATATATTATGTTGTGAAAATTTTAAAACACAAGTGTTACCATAGTAACCGGTACCATAGTAACCGGTATTAAAGTTACTGGTACCATAGTAACTAATTGGTACCAAAGTTACTGGTACCATAGAAACTAATTGGTACTAAAGTTACTGGTACCAAAGTAACTGGTACCAAAGTAACAGGTACCAAAGTAACAGGTACCAAAGTAACAGGTACCAAAGTAACAGGTACCAAAGTAACAGGTACCAAAGTAACTAGAGCCACAGTAACTAAAGGGTACCAAAGTAACTGGTACCAATGTAACTGGTACCAAAGTAACTGGATCCAAAGTAACTAGTACCAAAGTAACTGGTAGTACTATAGTAACTGGTACCATAGCAACCGGTACCATAGAAATCGGTACCATAGCAACCGTTACCATGACCGTTTTTTCCTTAGCAACGGTAATATTAAGATACTTCTATAAAAGTTATTCCTTTTATTTCCGTGTATTTTTGTATTTAACTATTTTTTAATTCTAATACAAATCCGTCTCTAAATTAAAAATATAATTAATTATAAAATTTTTCATCGATAATATTTGTACAGGTTTTTATTTTTGTAATAAACTCGTCTTTTCGAATCGTATAGAAGAAAATTATTACTTTACGAGATTACGTTGTCGGGTCAACGAAAAAAAAAATAAGGATAAGCAGTAAAAGGTGTAATTTTTCTTTGACACTTTAGCCAAGTTTGTGGACGTCGAAGGTTTTAATTGCGATGGTCGATATATATATATATATATATATATATATATATATTGAATTTAGTTCAAGCACAAGTCACCCTGTAGAGGCGTATAAGCGAGCAACTAATCAACGAAGAGCTGTTTTGGTGTGTATTTACTGTGCCGTCGATTCCACAAGGCTCAATATGCTCTCGTGTATATATATATATGTATATATCTGTATACCAAAAACTATATAGGTTGCATGCTACGTAAATATGGCCACATATATCCGCCATTTCCTGGATACCCATTTCCTTTTCTCTCAACATAACGCTCTCTTCGCGCCTTCGTTTCTTCCCTAAATTTTGCCTTAATCGTGCTCTGTAGGTGACATTCTCTTCCAAGTGGAATTTATTGAGCTTGTACATGAGAATTGGAGGCGCGAAAATTGCTATTGAAAAGGAGTATTTAGAATCTCCTTTCATGAGAGAAATTATTAAGCACCCATTTTAGGTAAGGTCCTTCAATAATGGAAGATTGTAAAGTAGATCCTCTAATGGATCTATTTTCTATATGAGAAATATAAATGTAGTCTGGGAAGTGATTAATCGTCGTAATCGAAGTACATTTTGAATTTTTATCTTTTTTAGCAGTAGGAGGCTCATATTTTGAGTTATTTTGACAATTTATTGTTACCTTTTCTTCTGACTAATTTAGTCATTTTTATATTGGTACCACGCGCTTTACATTTTGAGTTTTTTTCATCAATTTTGCTTTGCTTCAGTTAAAATATTGGTTAAAAAATTATTATCAATCAAAGGACGACTGATTCGTAAGTAACATTCAAAAAATCAAATCTAAATTCAGATTTGCTTTATAAATTTTGAATGAAGGTTGAAAATTTTATCTCAAGCATATACATTGAAGACGAAGCCATTCACTTTGGATAGTCCATAATCTGCCTCGAGGCATCTTCTCTACAACATGCTTTTGATCCAATTAATAATTGGATCAGACACGCCATGGCTACTGACCTCCTTTCAGATAGTATAAATCGAGGTGCGAGGTAAATTTCTCTATAGATGATGACATACGCCGTAAAGTCACATCCTGATCTTTTCAAAAAAAAAAAAAATATTCTTTCCTAAACATAAATTTTCTTTCACAATAATTTGTTTCATTAAATAAATCCGAGGGTTTTTTTCTATCTTTATAAAAGAACAAAATTGAATGATATGAATTTTCATGTTTGGCAAAAATTTTTTTTATTTGTTATGAATCTCATTATTATTCTGTTAGGACAGGTTAAAATTAAAATTACAAAAGAATATTGAGATGTTGATACACGATATAAGCATCGTAACTCATGAATTCCTGTGAATACTTTTTTTTTTTTTTTTTTTTTTCTTTCTTCGTTGAAGCCGCAGACGTGTTCACAGTGCTGCTCTGATTCTCTTATTAAAGCAGAATATCGTACAACGCGTGCACACAATACGCGAGAAGGCTGATGGTTGTTCTGCACGACATAAATCCCCCGAGTCTCCGTCGCCCAGTTTTCAACGAGCTCTCCATTCTTTTCCCATACACGTGAGACGTGAAGAAAAACGATATTAGATTTACTTCCGCACTGAAACCGACCCTGAAAAAAAAAGAATTATCCAAGTTAAGTTTAACTGTGAGAACAAAAAAAAATGCGTAAACATTATTTGAATGTTAAAAAAACAAAATTTAAAAAATTTATCACAATATTAAATATCATTTTTATTGTGGAAATAAATTCATGTGTATGTAATTTTTTTTTAAAGCTGTTTTTGTAAACGAAATCTGATATTCTTTTTATAGCTTCACGAGAGAGAGAGAGAGAGAGAGAGAGAGTGAGTTTAAAAATATTTTCTCTAAACGAATATTAAATATTTTCTTCCTCTTTTTTTTTTTGAAACAACTGGTTTTATTTTTAATGTCAATAGAGATGAATTTATTGCTTTTTTTATGATTATTGTTATTTCTCGCAACTCGTAAATTAAATTGCATTTAAAGTTTTTGACGAAAAGTGTAAATCTCAAAAATAGCTTCAATGACAATTTTATGATTCAATTTAATCTTGTACAAAGCTTTGCTTTCATCATTAAAATACTCTCGTTTTTATTTTTATATGAAAAATATTGTTTTTTGGATAAAACTGAGTCATTTAAAAAAATATTGGTAGAGAAACAAAAAATTATGTGTAATCATAAAAAAATTGTAAATTATAATATTTAACATTTCAATTATACACCGATAAAAAAAATAATTTAAAATTTAGAATAAACCTAGTTTAGAATATAATATATATTTAATATATATATAATATAATGTAACAGGGAAAAAAATATTTATGTGAAACAGCCAAAGATTTAACTAGAATAACGAAAGATTTAACTGAAACAAGTAAAAATTTTGCTACTCTAGTGAAACGTTTTGCAGTTTCAGGTTAATTTTTATTTAAATTATAAAATATTGTAAAATATGTTCCAAGTGTATATTCTAAATTGCAGAATATTTTCTTTTACAATGCATCAAATAAAACTTTTCTTTATATATTCATTTCAACGAGAAAATTTTATTTATAATTGAAACTACTATTTTGTAATAAAAAAAAAAAGAAAATGCTTTTGAGTTCCTGTTTGCATAATGAAGGACTTAATTACCCTTGCAATATATTCTCTTTCATTCAAGGGTTCCTAAGCTGCTTCATCTCATTGAGGAGAAAATCCTCTTGGAAAAGAAATTTTCATCGTTGAGCGAGAGAGTGATATCGTTAATAATAGAAAATTACGTTGGTTTACAAAAGGATTTTCTTTCTTTATGGATTTTATTAGCTTGTGCAATGATTCTCTAGAGACATTAAAGAAAATTCAAAATAAACTTTTTCCTTCACATAAAAAAAAAAATAAAGTAAAGAAACAATTTGTTTTTAATTGTCAAACACTTTTAATGTTACTGTTTACAAAAAAACAAGTTTAATATACCAAAAATTTTCTCTTATATCTAAGAAAAGAATTTAAAAACAATTAGATATTGATAGTTCTTTTTTTTAAATCTGACCTCCGAGCTATAAAAAAAAGTTAAACCTTTGTTTCACTTTTTAAACTTTTGTAATCTTACTAGTAGTACAAGTGAATATTAAGTTAAACTAATTAAATATATTAAATTTTTGTAAGTAGTACAAGTCAATAGAAATTTTTTAGTCATTTTATCAGTAGTAAAACTCGATTTTAGTCAGTCATAATGAATAAGGTAAAAAAATAATGTGAATGTAAGTTTTAAATCGAATAATACATTTTTTCTAATGCTATTAGTAGTAGAACTCACAATTTAGTCAGACTTTTCTGATTTTTTAAATGTTATCAGTAGTATAAGTCGATTTTAGTCAGACATAATAAATCAAATATAAAATCAGTAGTTTAAGTAAATATTAAGTCAAGTATTATTATTTTTAATTTCAACAGTAGTGCAAGTCGATGTTATTACGCGTTATTACGAGTATTATCATTTATCACAGGATTCTACAAGATATTACACAAATCCTACTCAGTGTTACGTATTTTTCTAGCAACCCTGAGCTTCATAACACACATTTTTTGGCGGTATTTGGAAAAAAAATGTAATAATTATTACACGTTATTACGGAATATTACACATTATTACGCGATATTACGCGTTATTACGAGTATTACCGTTTATTACAAAGATTCTATAAGACATTACACAAATACCATTCAGTGTTACGTATATTTCTAGCAACCCTGAGCTTCATAACACACATTTTTCGTCGGTATTTGGAAAGAAAATGTAATAATTATTACACGATATTACGGATTATTACACATTATTACGCGATATTACGCGTTATTACGAGTATTACCGTTTATTACAAAGATTCTATAAGACATTACACAAATACTAC